ATTTTACGGCGGAACCCTGTGCACACACAAACTGTTTCTGCTACTTTTCTGTATGTCTCTGAAGATGAATCTGCGACGGATTTCGAAACGTTAGGCGAATAAACATATTGTCCTAGCGATCGAGTAGTCTTCTACTACTCAATTACTCCCTGGGGCTCGCATGTATTAGCAATACTAGCTTTTTACTTCCAGCTGTTAAGGCTGGCAGGGACTCTATCGAGACCCAAGGCAGATAGTCGATAACGATAAGGGCGAAGGTCGGAACAAGTGGACTTCTCATTGTTATTCCGTTGACAAACCCATTAAATTGGTCGCTACATAAACATTTTACGTTCTTCTGCACAATCGTTATATACTACTTAATATTGAAAATGACATGCGAGTTTGATAAGCATGGATACATATGAGTTTAATTAATAATAATTACAATTTTACAGGTATCGTGTGTTTGATGAATATTTTTCGATGTTTGATTTCCTCAATAACTGGAAGCAGTTTAAGAGCGTATACGTCGGGTGGTTCTAATTCCTCGAATGGCTACTGTTTTTTATCTGATTGCTAGAATTTCACGTGGACTTACTTGCTGTTGGGGGTATATGACTTATGTGTTTAGGAACTTTGGTGATGGCTTCATTCCAGGGTCACCACCGCTTATCAAGCAAAACTGTCTACTTATTTCGTTTTCTTTTTCTCTTACAACTTGTACATCCACTGTTTCCCGAGTACCACACAGAGAATCCGCATATGTATAAAAAAGAACTCCACGGAAATCGCATTAATACGTGCCGACCTATGGGTTGCGGCGATTACAGATCGCGCCCAGTTCAATATCATCCTAGATGGCGTCCTTCAGAAATAAATACAATGAGCAAAACGAAGCAGTCGACTGACGTGTTTTAGGCACCTGTCGCCGCATGGAAAATTGAGGGCACAGCAGCGGACTATTCACCAGGAGAGCAATGAAAAAAAGCAATCAGGCAGTTTTACTTCAAATGCAAAATCATGAATCATCATATGTTTTTTATG